TCCTTTACCTCCTCTTCCTCCTCCTCCTCTTCCTCTTTCTCTTCCTCCTCCTTTTCTTCCTCCTCCTCCTTCTTTTCCTTGTCCTTCTCCTTCTTCTGTTTACTCTCTTCTGTTGCTGTTTTTGATGTCTGATCTCTTTGCCTTGTATATAAGTTTATCTGATTTGGGGAGGGGAAGGGGAAGCACCCACAGTGGGACAAGGGTGAGCCAGCTCAGCAGTGAAATGCACTAGACACCATGTTGGAAATGAACTATACACCTTGGTGGGTGGGGAGGGAAGTATGGAGGGGAAAAACTGGGAGAGAATAGGGAGGGGGTGACACTGAAAAGGAAATGTACTCATTACCTGACTTATATAACTGTAACCTCTCTGCACATCACCTTTACAGTAAAATTTAAACCAAACAAAACAGGTCCCCTAGAATGGCACCCTTAGGAGCCTCTTGGCACTGGGAAGAGGCTCAGCAGTGATCTGAACAATCCATAACTCCATGGAGCAATGGAAAGCCTGGCCCAGACAGCAGCTAGAGAACCATACTGACAAGGAAGCATTCAGAATAGAGACCCCCCCCCCCAGCTCTGTTAAACAGAGACTGTAAGGACTGCTGTTTCTTAGATTTCTGAGACTTGGGTGGCCTTGCACACCCCTGTGCAGTATTGTAGACTAGCAGGATCTATACTGGAGCTGGGTGACTGAGGGCAGCACATACCACCTGAAACTTTCTAGTCATATTCAGATGAAGTCAAAGGAATCAGGTGGATGGGTAAGTTCCCACCCCCTTCTCTGTGTAAGGGGGGAAGTAGGGGGGTTGGTTTCCAAGAGGGCAGCCAAGGAGAAGGCTCTGTAGTCTGGGGGCACTCTGGGGGCACTTAGTCATTCCGTTTTCTGCCTAAAAACCTACCAAGACCCAGTACTCCAAGAAAACCCCTTTTTGGGAGTACTGGGTTGGAATCTGTTGGGAGGGGAGTTGTTATGTGGGGGAAAGTGAAAATGACAGCTGTCTTTGGGAAAGAGGAAGAGGAAGGGTGGAAAAATCTGTTTGTTGGAAGTCTCCGTCCAGGGAGGTTTTCAGGAAGTGAGAGGGGACAGGGTAGCTTTCCTGCTGGGCTCAGAGATAGGCACCAGAACCCTCGGGCAGGGGTCTTGGAAGAGCCACTGACACCAACATGGTAAAGATGAAAAGGCAGAAAGCAGACTTCTGGAGGGGGGGTGTGTTCCTCTGATTCTGGCCCCTCCTTAGGAGAACGCGGCCTGGGGAGGGGGGCTTGGGACCACCAGTCTGTGCTGGGTGACCCCAAATAGTCTGATCCTATAGCCCTCGGGGGCTTGTGCATCCAGAGGACTAGAGAACCCATAAGCACACTGCGCGCATACACATTCTCTCTCCCTCTCTACCCTCCTATCTCCCTGTCCCCCCTCCCCAATATATCTCCATCTGCACCTGTGAGCTCCCAGGAAATCTGCTCGCTCCTACCTGCAGCCCTCAGTGAAACCCTGCATGCACTGCGCGCTTGAGCGAGAAGCGCAGATGCTGCTAAGGTCTGGAAGCACAAAGAGGGCGCAAAGTTGGCTGAGTAAATCTCAGCGGGGACACGGGAGCCGGGACAGCTTCGCAAACTTCCGACTCCGTGCCCTGATTGGCAGTTGGCCCCAGGGTCCGTTAGAGAACACCCCTCAGCCCCACCAAGAGCGCCCCGTGCTCGGCCCCCGCCCCCCCCCAGAACCCTCCTGGAAGGATCCCTGTATAGCCGTAGGAGGAATCACCTGTGGCCCAAATGAAATGAATAGAGGGGGGGGTCGCTTTGGGGTGACAACTTCAAATGGAAGCTTTGGCGGGAGAGACGGGTTGGCTGTTAAGTAGAGGCGTTCTGGCCTCAGTCCACCTCCTCCCACCCCTCACCCCGGCTTTCGCTCAACAAGGCTTGGGACTTTGCAAGCCGCCCAATCTCCTCCAGCCTCCTTCTGGTTGTTTCTCGGATTATTTTTCTTTTCCTCCATCCTTCCTTGTTCTTTCGACTCCTCGAGGACGGGCATGGAGCACCCCTCCATCCTGCCTGTCTTTTGGGGATGGGTACAGCTTCCGGTTCTGCGTGCCCGAGCCCGTGGTGGCAGTCCCAAGCCAGACGGCATAAAGCCAGGGGCTCCTGACCCTGCTCCCGCGGAGGAAGGAAGCCGGAGTTGGGGTCTGAGAGGCTGGTCCTTGAAGTGGGATCTCTGCACGGCAAGAGCCTCCTTGGGCGGAGGGGGCGGGGGAAAGGCAACGAGGTGTCTCCTCAGCTTGCAGGGGTGGGCTGTTCCCAACTTTGTGGGGATAGTGGTGGTGGTTGTGGGGGGGGAGTAAGAAAAGGGGGCAATGGCTACCCGGGGAGCCAAAACAAAATGGATTTGGGTTGGAGGCGAACCTAGGAACCAACATACAGCTAAGTCAATCCCCAGAAACAAAGACACAGGCACAGGGACAAAAGAGATCAAAAGGATCAGGTGAAAGCCCCGAATCCTTCAGACCTGGGGACGGGAGACAGTGGGGCGCAGGGGTGTTGCAACTTTGGGACGGGAGTCTCCAGGGTCTCAAGAGTTCGCACTTTCAAGAGCCAGTCTCGGTCCTCCAGACTCTGTCCTGTGCGCGGTGGAGACACTGTCCTGCCCAAGTACTAGGGCTGAGCACCCGGGCAGGCACGCTCCAGAACCCAGTGTCTTTTAGGCCTGGAGGGAGGGAGCTGGCTCGCTGGAGTGAAGCCCCCGTGTGTTTTTAGAGGCCGAAGTCACAGTCTAAATAGACCCCGGGTCTGTGGCAGAAGCTGGCCGCTACAGCTCCCCCTCGGAGGAGCGGAGCCGCAGTCTGAGAGCATGTGCTGCTCACCTCCGTTCCTGATTCCAACGCCGCGGGACCCTTCCAGGGCAAGTCTGTGCTCCCCCTCCCTTTGCCCAACTTCAAACTGGGGCGACAGCGCAGCCTAACTCGCCTAGCTGGCTCCCCAGACAGTCGAATCATTTATGCAGAGAGCATGCCTCTTTAAAAGGCTTAATTCTACCAGTATTAACAGTGACTCACCTACACCTTTTAGTTCATTTTTTTTAGTTCAAATACATTCATTTTATTTAAAGTAGGCGACCCGGACCACACCCAACCGCAGCCTCTCCAAAGGCGCAAGAGAAGATTTTCAGAGTAAATTGGAGGATTTTTTTAAACTTTCTAACAGCTTAAAAAAAAAGTCTGGCCACCTTGGCATTGGTGGGGCCGATGGGACCCCGAGTCGTGGCATCAGCCCCGCTAAGTCCACAAACACCAAGCCCCAATGCACTCACCCGGGGCACTTTCTCTCTCTGGCCTTTCGTGCGCATCCAAACTGGGAAGCAGAAGGCGACGTGGGAGGCGGGTCCGATCTCCCGCTGCAGCGAATTCGCAATGTCTCCGCTCCTCGAGCTGGAGCCGGGGTCTCTGGGAGAAATCCCTTATGACCGCCCACCCTGGCCTAGGACAAGGAGGGTGAAGAGACTCGTGCCTGGTGTGCTGGACTCTGGGGATGATTTCTCCCCGACAGCCCTGGGTCCCCCAGCCGCGGAGTTTCCACGTTCAGCAACCAGTTCTCAGTCCCATCGCCCAGGACCTTCCCTCTTGGGGAGCAGTCCGAGACGGGCACCCTCACCAAGAGGTGAGGAGCAAGGAAATTTCCGTAGGGGTGACTAGCGTCGCAGGAGTCGCGGCTGAATACCACAATGGAACCAAGAGAACCTGTGCGCGGCTCCAGTGTCACTTATTTTGGTCTAGGTTGCGCGCACCCCCCCCCCACGTTTTGGGGTTGGCCCCGGCTGAGGGAAAGTAGGGATACCTTGTTGGGGTCCCAGGTGCCTTCCCAAGCCTCCTGGTCAACGGGGTAATGGGTAATGGATAGCGCGCGTCGGTGCGTCTTTTCACACCATGGCCACTTGGGGTCGCACTTTATGCCTGTTTGAGCCTCTCCGCGGCCCGCGGGCGCAGGGCTGGGCTTAATGGTTACAAAACGTTCAAACAAAAACAGGGCCGATTCTCCAGCCGGGGAGCCGGAGCACTCACTGTCCGGTGCACGCCTCGGCCGAGGGGCGGGGAGGGGTGTCTTGGAGTGGAGCAGGCAGCTTTCCCTGCGTCTGAGTGGGGGAAAGAGATTCAGATAGAACCTTAGGGCTGTTGTTGTTGTTTGTAAATTGATGGCCAATCCCCCGCGAGCGTCTGGGGGGGTGGGGATCGGGGAGGCCCATGGAGGAGTCCTACCTTAGGACTAGCACTCAGTAGCAAAGAATCTTAGGGGGGGGGCAGGAGAAAGCTTCTGGGGAAGGTTAAGAGTTCGGTCTGGATCCAACTCTTGGAGCCCCAATTTCCGAGCCCCGCTTCCCCGCCCCCCCGCCCTCGCCCCGCAGTCAAATAATGGGCAGACCTGCGGAGGTACAGGCTGGCACCGCGCACAGTCCCACAGCCCGCAGTCTGGAGAGGACTCGGTGAGAGAGACAGAGGGAGAGGGAGCGAGAACAGTCGCCCACTTGGGCGGGGGCCGCATGGGAACAAAGGGCCCAGGAGAGAGGCGTCAGCCCGGGCGATCACTGGGGAGCCTCCTGGTGGATGTCAGGGGCTGAGGATGGGAGCGCACAGGGTATTGAGAGGGGTGGGTGTACCGGGGGGAGGCGGGGGGAGAAACGGGGACTTGGCCCGGAGGTGGGGTGCGCGCGGAAGGCGAGCTTGTGGGAGCCAGAGCTCGGAGGGTGTGGGGGGTTGGGCCCGGACTGGCCGTCCCACTGGCTCCAGCCCTCTGCCAGGCCTCGCTGGCTCCGGGGCTGGCTCCGGCCGCCCGTCAGCTGACGCAGGGGGCGGGGGAGCTGTCAGACACGCCCCGCCCAGCGCCACCGGGCCCGCCGGAGCCGCCAGGCTATTGGCCAGTGCGCTGGGCTGCCTGGGGCCCCCCCGCGCCCCAGTGACATCAGGAAGGCGATAAAAGGCTGCAGGCGGCTGCCGACCCAGCACAGCTGCACGGCTGGGCTGCGTGCGCGCGGCTGAGAGCGAGAAGGCATTAGAGCTAAGAGAGCTAGAGCGAGCGAGCGAGCGAGCAAGCAGCAGCAACAGCGGGCGTTCGCCCCCCCTGCGCCTCTCCGCCGGCCGGCCCCGTGCGCCACCGCTCTCTCTTGCTTCTCTCCTCTGCCCTGCCTGGCTTGACCTGACTCGATCTCTGCCCGGGGCCACAGCCCGGAGCTCTGGGTGTGGGGGGGACCTCGCAGCCAGCCTCGGGACTCTCTTCAGCGCGCCGCCGCCGCTGCTGTCCCCAGACAAAGGCTTGGCCAGCGTCCCCGGGCCCGCTACGCCCTCCGATCTTCCGCCTTGCCCTCCCCGGGGGCTCTCTCTGCTCTTCGCCCCCTCCCTCCCCGCGTGGTGCTTGGCTCGGCTTGGCTCGGGTGCGCTCCGGCCGGCCGAGCAAAGTTTCTCCCCCACCCCACCCCCCCACCCCCTGCGGCAGCTGCGACGGAGCCTCGCGTTAGCGATGGCCGCGGAGCTGAGCATGGGGCCAGAGCTGCCCACCAGCCCGCTGGCCATGGAGTACGTGAATGACTTCGACCTGCTCAAGTTCGACGTGAAGAAGGAGCCCCTGGGGCGCGCGGAGCGGCCGGGCCGGCCCTGCACGCGCCTGCAACCAGCTGGCTCCGTGTCATCCACACCGCTCAGCACACCCTGTAGCTCGGTGCCCTCGTCGCCCAGCTTCAGCCCCACAGAACAGAAAACCCATCTCGAGGACCTGTACTGGATGGCGAGCAGCTACCAGCAGATGAACCCCGAAGCGCTCAACCTGACGCCCGAGGACGCGGTGGAGGCGCTCATCGGCTCGCACCCGGTGCCACAGCCTCTGCAGACCTTCGATGGTTTCCGCGGCGCTCACCACCACCACCATCACCACCACCCGCACCCGCACCACGGGTACCCCGGGGCCGCCGGGGTGGCCCACGATGAGCTGGGGCCGCACCCGCACCATCACCACCACCACCAAGCGTCTCCACCGCCGTCCAGCGCCGCCAGCCCCGCACAACAGCTGCCCACCAGCCACCCCGGGCCCGGGCCGCATGCAGCGGCCGCCGCCACGGCCGCGGGTGGTAACGGTAGCGTGGAGGACCGCTTCTCCGACGACCAGCTCGTGTCCATGTCGGTGCGTGAGCTGAACCGCCACCTGCGGGGCTTCACCAAGGACGAGGTGATCCGCCTGAAGCAGAAGCGGCGGACCCTGAAGAACCGGGGCTACGCCCAGTCGTGCAGGTATAAACGCGTCCAGCAGAAACACCACCTGGAGAACGAGAAGACGCAGCTCATTCAGCAGGTGGAGCAGCTTAAGCAGGAGGTGTCCCGGCTGGCCCGAGAGAGAGACGCCTACAAGGTCAAGTGCGAGAAACTCGCCAACTCCGGCTTCCGAGAGGCGGGCTCCACCAGCGACAGCCCCTCCTCTCCCGAGTTCTTTCTGTGAGTCGTGGCGGGTCCCGGCCTCTCTCCCCCACCCCAACTCCCAACATCCCCACCACCACCTCTCCCCCCGCCCTGCCCTGTCCCGGACTCCCTGTCCTCTTGGTGTTCCCAGCCCCGGACTCTCCTGGACCTTGTCCCTGCCATGGCTCCAACTTTGACCTGTTTGACTTAAGGGAGAGGGAGGTCGGACGCTCGGGGCCGCGGGCGACCGACAAGAGCGCGGGGCAGGCAGGGGACCTTGGCTAAGGCAAGAGTCGGGCGCACGCCAGCGCCACTTCCTAGACTCCGGGCAGAGCTAGACCAGGGGGTGGGAGGTTTTCCCCCTCCACCCCACCCCCACCCCCCGAGCAACTTTTCTCCAAACTGGATGGCGGCGCGGGCGGCACCGTACCAAGGAGTTTGCCAAGGGCCGCCTGGAGAGAGTCCTGGCTTTCTGAACTTTGTGCCCCAGGGCTGCCGTCAGTCGCCCCCCAAGGAAGAGAGCAGAGGAGAGGAGAGGGACCCAGGAGTCCCGGCAGGCACAAAGCAAAGGCTGAGCGAAGGGAGGAAGAACAGACAGAAGTGTCTGTCCAAGAGTCTGGAAAGAACACTGACTCTCAGCCCTGGAGACGCGGGTCTCAGGACGTTTGATGCTCGCGCGCAAAATCTCATCCATTTTATTGCCTGCTCGATTATATAGAAAAACAAATACGAAAATCTGCATTAAAATATTAATCCTGCATGCTGGACATGTATGGTAATAATTTCTATTTTGTACCATTTTTCTTGTTTAACTTTAGCATGTTGTTTGTTGATCATGTCATAACCCGCCCCCCCCCTTGTTTCTTTGAGCGAGAAGGGATCGCAGTTCTGAAACTCGGGAGGCTGCCAGCCAGGTTTCAATCCTGGCCCGGCTTGTACATACCCGCCTGCCTCACCAAACCTCATAGAACATGGCAGCAAGCTGAGTGTCTGTTTGGGTTTTATTATTATGGCATTTTTTGTAAGTGTTTTTTTTAAAGAACAAAGAAAGGAACGTTCTAGGCATTTAGCATCATGAAACATCTTTGTCTTGGGGTGTTTTCTGAGTATTTTCTTCCCTTCCGTGTTGTCCATGTTCGGTCCTCTTTTTTTCCCCTCCTGCTTTATTTTGTTTTTGATTTTGTGGGTGTTGAGGGAAAGCAAGTTCAAGAGCAATGCAGCTGCGCACAGTTCCATACCACGGAGGCCAGAGTTTGTCTTCTCTATCCGCCTTGTCTGATGGTCAGATTGACACTTATAATAAGTAGAGGGAAGGAAAGCAGATCTTTGCTTTACGTTGTAGTAGCCGGCATTATTCCCGGTCCCCAGGCTCCCCATCCCTGTGGAACCCTCCAGGCACCACATTCATCTCAGAGGCTGAGCGATCTTCCTGTGAGAGACACCACTCTCCTTGGGACTGGTCAACAATGATCAGTGCTCATATCACCTCAACTGCCACGCTCAGAATGTACCAGAAAGCCAAACATTGGCCGCAATTCTGCAACTTTCAAGTGCATTCTGTAGACCAATGCATTATGTGCTTCTTTTCCTGCTTTTCAGATAGCAGGAAGAGTTAATTAGTGAGATTCTCCCCTTCTCCCCCTCTTCACCATCTAACCCTTCAGCTATATAGTAGTTATAGGGAAAATCTGGGTGTTTTCTTTCTTATTACATTTTTTCCCCTGCAGGTCAGTAAAAGGATTTAAGTTGCACTGACGAAAAAAAAAGTGTATTTTTTAGTTCCCATTTGAAATTGCTGGCGCTGCTGGCCGGATGCATTTTATTTTTGAGTTTGTATTAGTTGATAAATTAACAGTAATAACAAGATTGTATGAACCGCATGGTGCTTGCAGTTTTAAATATTGTGGATATTTGTCCTGCATCAGAAACGAGCTTTGGTTTTTACAGATTCAACTGTGTTGAAATCAAACTTGCCGCAACAGAAATTGTTTTTATTTCGTGTAAAATAAGGGATCAATTTCAAACCCTGCTTATGATATGAAAATATTAAAACCTAGTCTATTGTAGTTTTAATTCAGACTGGTTTCTGTTTTTGGTTATTAAAAATGGTTTCCTATTTTGCTTATTAAAACCATGGAAATGGTGTTTATTTAGAGGACTCGGAGTTTGCATGACTTTGATTTTTCTTCCTTTGTACCAACTTTGGGGCATATTCCTCTTTGTCAAAGCAAGGCTGGGCAGACCTCACCCTGAGTGTGTGACCTCATGGATGTATGTGAGCCACAACCATGTTCTCTGCTTCTTACTCTGGGTCCAAACCCTGGGCAAGATTCTGTGAACTGAGCTAGTGCAGATCAGAAAGGCCTTGGTGTCCCTGAGCACAGAGTGCATGCCACTTTATCAGCATTTGAGGCTGAGGATCCGGACTGGCTTGTTAGCCAGCCTGCTGTGAGGTAGTGACTGGCAGAGAGCAGAAAGCCAGTAGTAGCTGCCCTGATGGATAAACCAGGTCTTTTTGGTGCTCAGGTCCCACTGACCAGCACTCCTGCTGCTTTGCTGCCTGGGTTTCTTTTGAGTCTCTTGGCTTTCTTCTGCTGGGCACTAGATCTTCCCAGGGTTAGAATTCCTGCTCTAGAATGGAGGCCTGTTTCCCCCCACCCCTCCATCCCACCCAAGCTGATAGAAGCAGGTGACACCTAGTACCAAACCTTTTAGTTGTTCTTAAGGATATCTTTCAGATATCCCAGATAAGGATATCTTTCAGATATCCCAGAGTGTGCACGAGTTTCACCTGGGAACACTCAGCCCAGCTACACCATGGAACCAGGCTTGCTGAGATTCTACAAATTGGAGGTTGGGGAGTTTGGGGGTCTTTCTGCGGTAGCAGCTTCCACGGTAAGCTGAAGATTCTCCCATCTTGTTAAGACCCTAGAGCCTTTCCTTTTCTGGATTCTTAGATGAGCAGTTTCCACCTAGGTGGCTCCAAACTCCGTCTATGCCCCTCAATATCTCAGTCTGTCACTGAAGGTTGACCTCAGACACCTCTGGGAAGTGGAACCTGGATTTCCAAATTTCAGAAGACATCCCTATCCTTTGGTTAGTTTTCAGTTCCAAAGAGTCTGTGTTTAGTTAAAAAAAAATCTTCATAAGCAGCAAGGCTCTCTGGCTGAGAGATCTTCATATGGAATTGCTGGACCTTGGTGGAGAGCTATAGGAGGCCCAAGCCTTGAAATCTCACACAGGAACCCAAGCCCAGTGGTGCCTAGGAGAAAGAAAGAGCCATTAAAGCTCACAGCCATGATTAGATTTGGACCTGAATCCCTCCCCCCCCCAACATTACAGGGGACATCTGAGGGCAGATGGTGTTGGGGGACATCTGGGGGCAGATGGCATTGGTGGCTGGGGTCTAGAACATTACAAGTGAAAGTTACAAGCACTGTTAACAATTGTGCCCGTATGGGAGCCTTGGTGTTGTCTAGTAGGAGAGAAGCTTAGGATCCCAGCTCGAAATGAATTCTCAAACGCAGTCCATTTCAACAACTCCAAGTCTGGTAGGGAAGGCACTTTGGAGCCATCTGGGGAGAGAAAGCAACGGGGAGCCCCCGTGGTGGTAACTTTGCCCCGGTTGTACCCAGATCCTAGAACAGGGGGTGCGAGTGGTTTCCTAATAGCACTGGCCAAATGATTCTTCACACCGCACCCCCAGTGTACAGGTGCACCCTTGTAGGTTTAACGAGGCCCTGGTCAGGGCCAGGGTTAGGAGAGCATCTGCGGGAACTCCATAGCGCAGAGACCCAAGCGGCTCGCTGCTGCCGCTGCCGCTGCGGCTCCCATCGGGAAGGCGATCAGGGATCAGGAGTGACGGGTCTGACTCCTTTGGGGAATCACCGCACAATCACCGGCAACTGCCCACCTCCAGAGTCATCTGGGACCTCAAGAAAAGCCTGGGCGCTGGCACCCTGGGAAGGCTGCATACTCCTAAACACAGACCCCCAAGGACCCGAAAGCAGAACCCGATCACCATGCTTCCAGACACAGCAGGGTGGCAAACTGCAGCCCCGGAAGACGACAGCTCCCACACGCAGCCCGGCACCCACTGAAGCTGACGCTCGACCTAGCCTTACCTCCTGCGTACCATGACGCGCCATCTCCCGCACTGCCAGTCCTGCCACCGAGCTACCCACTCAGCAGCTCCTGACACAAGTAAGCGGGTGAGAACCCGCAGCGCCTGCCTCTCCTAGAAGATGGCCCGGCTTTCCCGATGGTTGGAGTTGGATTCAGAAGGCAGACAAGCCCGGGCTTCGGCTCCACCGCAGCAGCTACCGTCCTGACCTATCACGGGGATGCCCCGGACCCCAGCGCCCGACGCCTCTCGGGGTGTCCCCTCCCCAGGGCACTCTGCAACCTCCACCCTCCTTCTCGGGACCCTGCACGTCCCCGCAGGGTGGGCGGGGGGAGGGAGGCTTTCTAGCCAGCACTGGTTCTCTAGACAGGCTGGCGCCAGCATCCAGAGACGCGTGCGGAGACAGACACCGGGACGCATGCAGGGGACACTCGCTGCTGCCGGGGCCTGGGAATATGGCTCCGCGCGGGCGGCATGCCTGGCTGTGGAGGCCTTGCTCTGGAGGGCAAAGTCCCCTTCCTGACCGCGCCCCAGCATCTCATCAACCCGCCGGGATGCTGCTACGCCGCCCGGCCGCTGCCTTCTGCCCTGCCAGGTCGAAAGCGATCTCGACCTGGGGTCCCATTCCAAGGAAGGAGTTCTACCGGCTCCAGCCAAGCGCAGGGGGATCTGAACCCTCCCCTACCTCCTGGTCTCTCCCTCCCTCTTTTCCTTCCTTCCTTCCTTCCTTACATCCTTCCTTCCTTCCTTCCTTCCTTCCTTCCTTCCTTCCTCCTCTTCCCTTCTTTTTCTTTCCCTCTTTCTCCTCCCTCCCCATCCTTTCCTCCCCCTCCACCCCTCCTTCTCTTTTTCCTCTGTCTCTTCCATCCTCCCGCCCCACCTCCTCTCCATCTTCCATTCTTGCTTTCCCTGCTCTTCCCTCCCTGTTTCTCCTTCCTTTTTAGCCTTCCTTCTAAATGTCTTTCATTTCAGGAA